AACACACTGAACAGATTTTCTCGAGTTAGGATGACCTGCCTTCAATCTCTACCCCCCGAGACTATCTTGCAAATCGCAGCTTGTTCAGACCTCAGTTTCTCATGCCTTCGCCATCTCCGACTCACCTACGAAGCATTTCAACTAATCTATTCTTTCCGATCAATCAAATGCTAAATACAGTGTGAATTAACCCATACGAACAATCACCGACATGGTGTACACGGTATAAAACATCATACCATGATGCCGGCAGCTTTCAAGCCGGGCATGTTTAGGCCCCCAAACTCCAGAGTACTCCGTCATGTACAGTGCTGCGTATCGCTGAGTAGCAGACGCAGGGCTTGACTATCATCCTTCATCCATCCATACATCAAGTCTCGTAACAGTCATCTGGCATCAATGTGTCAGACCGTCTTGCCGCCGCAGTCCGGTATAACGACGCCAGACTTGACCTTGCGGTTGACGTCCATCAGACCCCATTGGTCCTCCCAGTTCTTGTCTTTTTCGTTGTACATTATCTTCCATGGCTCATCAAAGGCCGAGAACCAAAAGTAGTTGGTACCATTAGTCAAAGCGGGACATACCCACTTGTCCAACAGCTCATTCAGCTCGTCGATACCGGCAACTGAGGCATTGGGGCAGCCCGTAGCAGTGCCATCGCCGCAGCTTGTGCCACCTTTGGTCGGCCAACCAATCTCGGCAATCACGTTCTTCTTCTTGTCCGACTTGAAGAACCCACCGGCTTGATTCTCCCAAAATGCGTAAGTCCACATGGCTGCGTCCTTGGCGTTGGTTCCAGAGAAGAACGGGTGGATGTTGGCCATGATGTAGTCACTCTTTGACGCCAAAGATGCCGTCCAGTCGTCGCCCAGGTCTGAAGTTGCCACAGGCAGGCTAAGTCCCTTGCTGGTCAAGTTGGTTCGTACCTCTTGGAGTAGAGTCCCCAGTTCCGACTCGGTCATTTGCTTCCGGAACAGAATTTCGTTGGCGACGATGAGACCCTCGAAATGCTTGTCTCCGTACTGGTCCAGAATATCCCACATTTGGGAAAGTTGTCTCGCGTTGGTTGTCTTGTTGCCATCCTGCCATACACCCAACCAGATCTTCACTGTGCCCTCCAGTTTGAGTTGCTCAATTGAGTGAATAAGCATCTGCGTCTGGTTGCAGTCTGTGCCGTACAAGCGGACAGTGTTGGTCAGTTGACTGAGAACAGCAAGATCACGGGTGATGTTGTTCTGTGAAGGAGGATTGTGATAACAATCGGGGTACTGGGAGTTGAGAGGCGTGTAGTCCATTCCGGGGAACACCTTATGCAGTTCCTTGTTGTTCATAAGCGCTTTGATTTCGGCACTGTCGGCGCTGAGGTCACCGTTGGAGTTCTTGTCGTCGTCTGCTGATTGTCCATTTCCTGAGCTCTTGCCGTCGCGACTGTTTCTAGAAATCAATCCACCTGTAATGCCACCAGCAATGGCACCGGCGATGAGGAGGATCACTCCGAGAATAATGCAACACTTCCACTTTCTGCGTCCCTTGTTTTGCTGCGCCATCCACTCTGATTTCTTCTCTGGTGAGCTGAGGTCAATGGCGCTGCCGTTTTGATACTCGGCCGTTCCCTTGGGGTCGTAGTAGCCGCTGTGATTTCGGTTCGCCATTAATCCTGCTGCGGCACCTCCCGCAGCAGCCGCGCCGGCTGCGCCAGCTGCTTTCGTCTTGCCTGTTCGATCGCTGTTGGAAAGACTAAGCATCGAGTTTCGTCCACTTTTGGGCTTGCCGTAGTCGAGACCATCATCACCATCGTCCGCGATAGAGTTAGGATCCACCACGCCAAGGTGTTGGGGGTGTCGTTGGTAGTAAGGGTTTTCGTTGTAATAGTCGTTGTAGCCGTATGGGCTCGAAGATGGGGATAGCCTGGCCGGAGAAGCGCCAGCTCCGCCGAGAGCCGTCAGGCTGGAGTGGGAGTCTCGGTCCGGAAGACTGCCTTGGTAGCTACCTTGGTAAGGACGCGGGACGGCATTGCTCATCTCGTATACGTCGCCTCCCGGTTGACTGTAAGCTTGCGGTGGTGCACTGGGCTGCTGAGACTGTCCTCGCGGGGTCTGGCCAGCACTTCTCATGGCACCAACCCCGCTCTCCCTGGCGTTACGTTCGGCGACGGTGTAAGCGATACCAGCCATACCTCCTGATGCCGTGTCGCTAAAGTTATCCGCGCCAGGTGTGATATTCGGATTCAGATTGCTCTGCTGTGGAGCCGCATAACGATCGGGGCCCCAGTCGCGGTGCACCGGAACCTGCGGAGAGTTGTCGATGGGGGATACGGCTTGATGAGCTCCGTATGCTGTAGCGGCACCGCCCACGGCACCGACAGCAGCCGGTGGTGGTCCCTGGCGATCGTTCCTCCGCTCAGCTCTCATGCGGCCAAAGTTCGGGTCATGATTGGGTTCGGAGTACTGGTGATCATGATGGTATTCATGAGGCGCGCCGTGGTGGTACTGATTATCTTGGTAGTACTCCGGGGGATTGGGGGTATGAGACCGATAAGCCTGGTCTAGGGGCTCTCGCTCGGCATCGCGGCCGTCTTCAAAGTCGTATCGTGGCATGTTTCGGGCAGGATGTATAATTTCGAGGTAACGTCTCGCAACCCTCGTGGGTTGAATGGTTGACTGACCAACAGCCAAGAAGTTCTGCTCGATTGTGGTGGATGAGGGAAGCGGAGAAATCGAGGGACGCTGGGTAGACGGGAGTCGACTTTGGAGGATGGCCGGCTAATGCGTGCGGCGGTTGCAGGAATGCGGGTGCAATTTCAAAATGTCTCGGAACAACAACTGTTTAATTGTGAGTGCGGTTCTCGCTGAAATCGGCATGTGTAAAAGCCCGCCTAATCATTCCCGCGTAGCGACTGCAGCGAGATCGGGAAGAGACCGCATCAAATTGAAGAGGTGCATGGAGAACAGGTGATGCAGATGGGAAGCAGGGAAAGAAACACTAACCTCCGTGCACCAGGTCTCCCGGTGACTCGGATTGAGAAGCCGGCAGGCGGACGACGCAAGCTAGTCGCCTCCGCCTAGTAGAAGTAGTGTCGCGGCGAGTTTGGCGATGGTTGAGCGTACCAAAGGAAGTTCGTGGGACAGTCGCAGAGACGTTTGGCACGTTTGTTTGTTCGAACGGGCGAGCAGCGAGAAGCCGGGGAATTACCGGTGCGACAATGTCGAGGCGAGGAATCGCGCGTTTTTGAGATGACTGTCTCGAAACCCTGGGTGGGATTAGGTGTACGGAGATTGCAAACCGTCAAAATGGGCTTTGCTCTGCCAGAAACCGTAAGGGGAAGAAAAAAGGTAGATGTTGAGGTGAATGGGGTGTGAGCGAGAATGGTGAGCAAGCAAGCCCCCGAGAGTGTTAGGCGCGGAAAATCTGGCTGGGCATTTAGGTGTTTCGCCCGCAGCAGCGCCAGGTAAGAAGTTCGTATTTTGGTACACCCGTGCGGCTCCCTTGTCTGGCGTTGCGCTTGCTCGTATTGGCTTGCGACCCGTCTCCAAGTGTTGTCGAGGAGCTCGAGTACTGGTATCTGCCCGCGGGGTGCGCGCGCAGGAAGCGGGAGCCGGAGGAATCGTTGTTTGGAGTGGTTCGCCTTGGAGATGCTGAAGACAAGGCTTGGAAGGATTGTTGTCGGCGTCGGGCATGAGGCATTCGACAGAAAAGAAGGAATGATACGGATACAATAAGGTGGGTAGCACGATGAGCGGTGGCTTGGGTGGTCTTGTGTTCGTGGATGTTGGCTTTTCAATCTTGGCCCATGAAGACAATGGACGACCCGACGTCAATCAGTGGAGAGGGACTGTACCGTAGTACCGAAGCTGCAACGACGATATACGTAGGTACCTTGGAAGACTCTATGTATACCGCGGGACTTGCGAAAAGAGGCAAAATGCGCCGCGTGTGAGACAAATTGGGGGGGCCTTTAAGTTCTAACAGGATGGGATGGCAGGAACGGGGGCAGGCACAGCTGAAGCAAAGGTACCTACAATGTAAAGCACCCCGTACCTAGGTACCGTAACCTCTCGTGAATGCTTCCTTCCTCAGCCATATTCTTCCCTTGTGTGAACAGATTGGGGACAGATTGGCATTTTCACGGGAGGAAGTAACTGCCATAGCCATTTACAGATATCCTTCCTTGGCAAATTGGTTTGGTCGCCGCCTCCTTTCACTGGCACCCGTTCTCCATACCATATATGGCCTCATGAGTCTCGACAACAACGGGAATGGTGCGTCGATAACAACGGCCCAGCCTTGTCCCTCCAAGCTGGAATCTGGGGAGGAGGAACCTAGCTATACCTGCCTCCCCTCCGAGCCCCAGCCCCTGTGCTCACGGGACTCCTCCCTGACCCCATCTGCTTTGCCGAGTGCCGTCATCCAGGACAGGGGGGCGCCTTAGGATGATGGGATCAGACTGAGAGAGTGGAGTGAATGCTGTTGCATTTGCACCTTAAAAACCTAAGCCCAGGCAATACCAGACCCGCCTGGTATCCGGTTAGGTAGTTTTCTCGGAGTGAAAAATAAAAGCAGACTAGGGGAAAGGAGAGGCACATACCACACCACAGTGACGGGGGGCAAAAGGCCCGCTGCAAAGCTGGGAAAAAGCAAGGCAGCCCGAGCCAAGCAGGTTTATTTTGAGTCCCTGGCCGGGGCAACAAGGGAAAGAGCGGCCCTTTCTGTGCAGCCACTGATCCATGCCTCTCGTTCTCCAGCCGTACGCAGTACTTGTACACAGTAAGCTCATGAGATGCAAACACCACTCTCTGTTTTGGACTTTGCCTTACCTTGGTTGCCTTTCTACCGTACAATACTTAAACCTGGGCCATCATCCATGCCTTTTGCTGAGAACAACTGAGACCGTTGGAGATGGCGGAGGCCAAGGTGCTAAAGAGTACCTAAGTTGGGTGCATAAGGAAGCGGCTGTGCAGAGACCGCAGATGAATGAATTCCCGAAAAGCAGCCGGTGCTTTGCTCAAGGTACCTAGGCGGCACTCGAGTCACCACTGCTAAACGTCCCCCTTACACCAGCTACTCGTCTACCAACCGGACGTATTCGAAGGGCTTCACTTTTGGGACACGTTTGCGACTGCAATCTAAATAAGACCAGCGACAAATCGCTGACCGCAAACTGAGTGTGCCCACTCACGAGTCTGAATGAATGTTTCTTTAGTGGGCCGAAGCCCTGGCTGGCTCTTGTCCCTCCGGGCCTATGGACAGACCGTGGTTGGCTGAGCGACCGCTGGCGCCTACCCTGTCTATTTGAGGTGTGGCTGCGCCCCTCTCTACATAGTACGGAGTACCTACTGCAGTATACACAGTAAACCAGCCCACCACTTCTCCTGGAAGCCCGTGACCCTCACTTCCCACTAGCCCCCCCCCCGCCCTCGCTGATCCATCCATTCGATTGTCGTTCTTGTCGTCCAACCTCTTCGTCTCACTTTACTTAGTACGAATGCGTGCCCGCCAGTAATCCGTACCTGAGCGACAGCATTCGCGAACAGCGAAAGAACCGACTTCGTCAGCAACACGGGTCCTCACCGACAATGCTCCGACCACCAGGTCGTTGACGGCTGCCGAGTCAACGCTACGACAGAAGTCTGTTTTTCCAACAAAAGTATCGTCCTCAGTCATGCAAAATGCGACGGGGGGCCGGTGATCATCAGGCCCACATGCAACCAAGTCCATCAAAAGCAAACACACAGAATCAAGCATCATCCACCCACACAACCAACCTCCAGACAATCAGACTGTCGCAGATCGAATCCCATCATTTCCCGCCCGTAAACACTTCACGCAACTCTGCGTGTTGGGTACGCTCGTAGCTTTGTACGGATTGACAGCGATGATCAGCAAAATCCGAAACTGTCATCCCATCCTTTGGCTATTTTACTTCCTCCCTCCAGTGCCGCAAAAGCTCCCGACCCCTCTCAAAAAAAGAAACCCCAGCAACCTTCCCTACTGAATCAATCTGCCTCTAAAATCAGCAAGGAAGTCCCTTTTGCCATCACTCTTGAAGAGTCCCAGGCTTCTCAGTGCCCCTTCATCTCAATCACCATTGCCGCCTTCCGCCTTCACCGTAGTCGTATTCTATGCTTTGGCTCCCGCGAACCCCCCTACCAAAAACACCAAACCTGAAGCACACTGAAGCAGCACCGGCCCTGCTTCACTCTCCCTACGGAGTACTGCTGCAACGCTAACCCATGTTTTACGCATGACATCACCAAATAGCTTCAAACAGGATGGATTCCCCTTTCAGTCATCGGCGCTCACCTCTGCTCTGGGACAATTGATGCTACGTAATAATTTGAGCTTTTCCACGAGTGTTCACTCACACAGCTGAAAGCGAGAGTAAGAGTGAGGAAAGCCACGCCACACTCTTCTACCTACCATATTGCTGACACTCCACCTGACGCCACATTCTGCCTGCCATCTGCTCTTCCAGCGTCCAGCTTTGCGCCGGCCTGATCAACCCTCGTTAAATACACAGACCACCGTCCTATTCTCCTGAGAGGTTCTGCGAGACTGCAAAACCTCGTATCGGCGAGTCAGGCGACTTGCGAAAAAGGCAGCTCGACCAATATGTAGGTCCATAGCGCCATTAGTCAACTCTCAGTGAAGTGAACCATCATTTCTATCTGTCTCCAACTACCCTCAACTAGTGCCTGGCATCCTTTCCCCCGACCTTTTCCGTCAATGCCCATCATCTCCCATTTTAGGAGGCTCAACTTAGATAATTTGCGAATCACTTCCGCAACGTCATCCCCAAACTCTGGGACTAACGCGTGCAGTATTGCGATACTTGGGTCAAAGTCGTGTTCTTTTCTAGAGCTTCTGCAGCTTTATCTCATAAATGGGTGTTGATCTGCCATGTGGGTGCATCAAGCACAGTCGAATAGGCGGAGCTAATGTAGCCATTTGCAACACAATCGAAGTGTAGGTCAACGATGATACACGCTCTAAGAATCTCTCGTCACGTCATAATCATTACTGAAATGCCGGGGAGTTCGTTTGAATATTGTGTAACCGCCCAGACGATCTGATACTTGTACCTCCAACTTCACAGCACCATCAACAAGCCAGACGAAGTATGATTTCTTAGGTTCAAGTAGTGTATTCACACCAACTGAATTGCCTCAAGTCAAGTCATTCCAGTGTAACTGAAACAATAATCCCCATTCGGAAGTCATTCATTCACATCATGATGGTGCTTTTCCAAGCCCGTCTCGTATGACCTGCATCACATGCACCGATGCTAAGTGGAAGGCCTGATTTCGCAGCTGCGGTAGTCTAGAAGAGAGTCTTGACCAGAGCTTTGTGATTTCTTCAAATTACAACCGCTCGTAACGAATCACAGTAGCCCTAAATGGGACGTGGAAGTAAGAGCCCTTTCGACAGCACGTCGAAGACAGGTTTATTTGCTATCAACTTACATCCAAGTGTGGCTATATATGCTTGAGCCAGTCTCAAACACACCTAAGTGGACTTTATGCATGGACTTGAAACATAGACTCTTTTTGAAACTCGAACGAGTACACACAGGTTAAAATCTTTGGCCACGGATGTCGAAGGCTTGGCTTCGATGTGCCCGGAAACTTCTCAGCGATGTACGATCCTTCTTGTTTTCGCCCATCAGGTATAATTATGAGCTTATGTCAGCGCTGTAATGGCAGGCTAAAAAACACCTATATGATCTGATAAACGACAGTAAGCCGTATTTATGTACGCCAGACTTTTGAGTACTATCTGTAGTCGCAGTGCTACCGAGCCGTTACGGGCTCCGAAGTCTAAGGAGCATCCATTTCGGCACATCGTGTATTCGAAAACTTCACCAGCTGTATCTAGTTGAATGACATCTGCAGACCTTTCTTGCCAGATTCCTAGTGAAAGATTCGTTCTATCTGGGCTGAAACAGTCGGTCCAGAAGCAAGAGACCTTGAGGCTTAAAAGCCTTGGGTGAAAGCATCCATATAGTCTACTGGAATGGCAAACCGATATCGAGAACGCTTCATTCCATCTAGTAATTCTTTTTGAGGAAAGGTGGCGCTTTTAACATTTTAGGTACTGGTCAAGTCACTTGCAACGATCACAGTAGTATATAACGTTTACAAGACGAAGTTACACGTATTATATCATTGCTATCGGACGTCACTCAGTGCTTATGAACTTCTATTTTGATGCGATTAGCAGTACTAACAGAGCCTCCAATTCTACCATAGCAACAAAAGCCTCATAACGCTTATCGTCTAAGATTAGTTAATGACACATGAAGATAGTTAAGGTACAGAGATAAGACTAGCGTAACCGCCCTCCGCTGCCGTTATATCCCATTTACGCGACGTTGCTATCCTTCTGATTTGTTTTGTTCATGCTTTCATGGGGGAAAGGAGCACCCTTGAAAGTAAGAACAATACCGGGCTAAGAATTAAGTCGTGAAAACGTGGTAAGTTCTGAACTCTTCCGATAGTGATACTTTTGAGGGAAGACAGTGCATTTTATGTCATTAAGCAAGGGCGGCGTACATGGGTAATAATACAACTTTATTGTCTTGTTCAGTTCGACGAACGTTTACCCTAGAGCGGAACGCTACGTATCCCTCGAGCATCTCATTTTACGTATATGCATCTTTTGAGTAAAGACAAGGCTTAAG